CGGAGCCCGTCCGGCCCAGTGGCCGCCCCTCCCCCGCCGCGCCCCCGGCGGTGATCCCCGGCTCGCAGACAGCCCTGGCCGGAGCCAGGAAGGCTCTTTGTCCCTTCCTCGGGGCCGCGTCCCGGCTCTGGGTCTGACAGCCGCGGCCCGGCGGCCCGGGCAGAGGACACAGCTTGGCTGGGGCTGTGGGAGCCGGGTGGGGCGGGCTCGGTCCGGAGCTGTGGGGATGGAGAGCCCGGCCGGCTCCGCACTCACTTCTCTATCCGTTTTTGACAGCTCAGTTCTGTTCTACTTTGGAAGAGAAAGTCCAATGCCTTCTTTTAACGCCTTCTTCAGAACTCATCTCCTGGGTGCCTGGTAAGGGTGAGTTTAAACGCTGTGTTGATTGCTGACTGTGGTATTAAGAGTGGCTCAGACTGCTTAGGATCCTGATCGTGCCACTGCCTGCCTTTGTGAGCTTAAGGCTCTAAGCCCGAGTTTTCTCATCCTTTAAGTTGATAGAATTGAGAAATAGTATAACTATAAACACCATTAATTTATTTGCTGCCAAGATCCTTTGCATGTGATACTTTCATTAGCTATGACCGAACTGTCCTGTGGACTTGGGAGATATGTGCTTTTTGTTTAATCATTAGCGCCCTAGGTTGTGTGTTCTTCTCATTATACTTTGTTCACCTTAAACCTAAGTAAAGAATTCTTTAAAATAGACTGTCCTGGGACCAGCAGGTGGTGTGGTGGTTATGGCGCTGTACTCTCCCACATGGCCGACTGTGGTTCGAGTCCCAGACCTGGCGGCTTGCTTTCTCACTTTCCCTCTCTCTCTCTTTGTATGTCTCTCTAGTTAAATTAAAATAAATGAATGTATAACTACAAATAAATAAATAATTATTTAAAAAAAATAGGCTGTCCTCAGCTGTTTTGCATGGCTGAGAATGTTCTTAGAAAATTAATGACTCTGCTTTTTTTTTGTGGATCAGCTTTAAAGATACAAGGATTTATTCACCTTCCCCCATCCCCCTCCGTGTCCTTTGGGGATCCTTCAAGAAGCTTAAGTGTTTGTCAGAGTAAGTAGCTAGGTGTTCTGCAATCCTTGCTTCACCATCTTTACCTTATGTCGACTTTTTTTCCCTCTTTTGTTTTTGTTATTCTTGCACTGTTTTTGCCAGAATTTTACCGACATGGGTGTTATGTTTTTCTTCAAGAAAGTTTTTATGATCCTTAATGTTTATTTTTCATTTAAAATGTATGTAGTACTTTGAGTTCAAACACTGTTGTGCACTTTGTGAAATATCATACCCTGAATAAATGCCCTTTATATGTGTAGAATTGTAGGGAGAAGAAACCAGCCGACCTGACAAATTGTGTAATGTCTTCAGTGACTGATGCATTTTCAGAAACGTATATGAGGAAAAAAAGGAAAAAGCTAATGAACACATTTCATAAAGATAATAGAGAGTCAGAGATTAAATAAGTGGAAAACTTATTGAAAGAAGGCGTGCACACACACATGTAGATATTTCTGATTCAAATGTGTGGCAGAAAATACTTGTTTTGAGGAAAATGTTTCTGTGTTGTTATTGAATGTAGTAGGACTAATAACTAGGGAAATAGGAGACCTTGGTTCTTGTCCTAGCTCTGTCAGTTTGTGTAACCTCAGGTTACTTTGTGGTCCTCAATTTCCTTATCTCCAAAATAGTGAATTGGTCTCATACCAAGAGCTCTTTTAGCTCAGATTTTCAATAGGGGTTTTTAGAGGTTCTTTTTAACATGGAAAATTTTTGATGTAAACCCTCTGAGTCATGCATTTGTGTCTTAGGGTTTGGTTTTTCTGCCCCAGGTCATAGAATTCTCTCAGACCATCTCAAGGAAGGGGATAGACATGAAAGAACTGGGAAAAGGGCTATATCAGTATATGAAAGAACTAGAAAGCTGCCAGAAATCAGAAGCTACCAACTAGTTCATCCTCTCTCTTATCAGCTGCATATTTTCTCTGTGTTCTTGACATGCTAGTTCTTTCCCCCTCTCTCTTTTCTTTGGTTCATAGCCTCTGTACCTTTTAGGCCTGCTGCTTTGTAACTTGCTTGTGACCCAACTTCATTGTTTCTTTTAGTGAATTCTCCTTCAGCTCCTTCTGCCACCCTCCTGGTTTTCTCTGGGGCTTCTTTGTAGGAGGTCTCTGACAAAGGTGGCCAATACTAGTCTTGGTTGTGGAATGGAAGGTGGGGACTTGTGCCAAAAACATGACTGGCTGAGACTATGGACAGGTCATGCTCTGTGACTAAAGTATTTAGTACTGCATAATATATTTTAGCTTAAACTTTCATCATAGGACAGCGATGAAGTAGTTTTCCTTTTGCCCTAACATTTTCTTTTTGTTTTTTTCTGAGAGATTTTTGCTATAGTGTGCGTGCACTTGCCAGAAAGACAGAGACAGAGACAGAAAGCTAGAAATCCTGCCCCCGGGGGATTGGCCATGCTGCAATCCCTTCTCCTCCATTCTCCTCTCAGGATCTTGGGCACGCATGCACATGTGCACGCACACGCGCCTGGCATGAGTTTAAGCCACTGGGTCCGGGACTCGAACAGTGGTCGACTACATGGAGTCCAGTGATGTAGCCATTAGGCTATGTGCTGGTCCCAGACATTTTCTATTTTCATCCCTCTCTTACCTTTTTCCTTTCATCTAACTTTGTACTCTTCATTGCTATTGTCTTCTTTTCCTTCTCCCAAAATATGCTATCTAAAAATGATTTGATATACTGAGATTCATATTAGTTGGAATTTTAGTGTAGCTTTTCTCAAGGCAGTACACTTCAAATTTCAGACCCAATTGTAGAGTGGATGGGTATGTCCTGTGCTAAGTTTTCCCATTAGTCTCAGGCAATATTGTAGAGCGAAAATGTTTTAAGAATAGGCCTTTTCCTTGATGTTACGTTCCTGTGTTAAACCTGTGGAGCACTTATTTCTGAATCTTTTTTGGAGAAAACCATATGAATCTCTGAGCTCTGGTGCCATACTGTGTCTTTTTGTAATAAATATATACCTCTCTAACTTTCGGAGACTAGTAGACAGTGATTCTTATTGCATCTTTGGCAAAATGAGAACTTCTCTGCTGCTTGTTAGTTGCTGCTGTTGCTCTTGATAGTTACTTTAGTGTAAGTTGTAACAGCACAAAAAGCAAAGCACTGAATACATGCCAAAATGAGTGTTTGAACAAGAGATTTTATGGGAGCATTAGCCATTTACTCATTTTTTTTTTCTTTTTTTGGAGAGGTTTTTGCTATAGGGTGTGTGCGCTCGCCAGAAAGACAGAGAGAGACAGAGAGACAGAAAGCGAGAACTCACCCCCCAGGGGGTATGGCCACGCAGCGATCTCTTCTCCTCCATTCTCCTCTTGGGATCTTGGGCACGCACATGCACACCTGCCCAGCGTGAGTTTAAGCCACCGGGTCTGGGACGTGAATGGTGGTTGACTACGTGGGAGTCCAGCGACATAGCCATTATGCAAACTGCTGGTCCCCTGATGTTTCTAATGTTGCTTTTTTTAGTGTTGATATAAAAATATAAGAAAGTACTTAATGACGGGCAATGTGAAATGCTGTGTTTTGTAAACTCGTTGACTGCCACTTGTGTGTTTTTCTTTAATTGCCGGAGGGCACATATGCTGGGAAGAGGAGTATCCCTTCCTCCTAATAGAGCTGGTCACACTGCAGTCCTTTCTTCTCTATTTCTCCATCCTGTTGAAATCTTGGGCATGCACACATATATATCCAGTATGTTTTTCAAGCCACTGGGGCAAGGATTCAAATTGTGGTCAGTCAGCCATGTGAGATCCAGCTCCCTTAACTACTAGACTATGGGATGGGCCAGCAAAAGATATGTATTTTTAAATTTTATTTTATTCATGAGTGAGTGCATACATGTGTGCAAAGGGGAGACAGAGTCAGAGAAAGAAAGGCACCCTCAACAGAGTCTCCTCACACTGTAGTCTCCTTTCCTTAGTCCTTCAGATTGTCAGGATCTTGGGTATGCATGCCCTTGGTGTGTTTTTAGGTATACACAGGATCTGAACTTGCAGTTGATCATGTTACTTCCAGTATTGCCATTGAGTAGGCTACTACTTGCACCAGAGTCCAGGCTAAGAGATCTTTTTATATTGTGAATCCACAGTTGTATAGCTGTGTGTATGCATGTGTCTATGCACATAAAAGTAAATGAACTGAAAGAAAAGTTTCACAAAACAAAATCTGTAGTGTATACAGTGTACTCTGACGATTTCTATTTTTAAGTGCTAGTTATGAACTGTTAGATTGATTTTTAAATTATATATATGTATATATAGTCATTGGGAAAGTCCTGATACTTTTTTAAAAATAATCATTTTATTGAACTTTATAAAATTTATTTAAATATTTTTGCTATAGGGCATGTGTGCTCTCCAGAAGGACAGAGAGAGAGAGACAGAAAGTGAGAAATCACCTACCCCAGGGGGGATGGCCATGTGCAGTCCCTTCTCCTCCACTCTCCTCTCGGGATCTTGGGGACGCATGCACACGCACCTGACGTGAGTTTAAGCCACTGGGTCTGAGACTTGAACTAGGGTCGACTACATGGGAGTCCAGTGACATAGCCATTATGCCAACTGCTGGTCCTTATTTATTTCTGTATTTTTAATTTGACCAGAGAAGGATAGAGGGAGGGAAGGCGAGAGGGAGGGAGGGAGAGAGAGAGAGAGAGAGATCAAGCTTCTGGGTCCAGGACTCGAACTGAGGTTGACCATGTGGGAGTCCAGCACTCTTAACCACCATGCCACTTGCCAGCCCCAAGTCATGACACATTTTTGTATAGAAAAATACACCACAACCTAATATTTTTATTTACTTTTAATCAGCGTGCATCTGTACAGTTGGTCCAGTCAAAGATATTACCATATATGTTATAATCACTAGATAACTTTTAATTTTTGTGTCTTTTAAAAATATTATTTTATTAAACTCTATTTAATTAAATTAATTAATTATTTTAATTTAACTAGCGAGGGACAGAATGGGAGAGAGAGAAAAAGTAAGAAAGCAAGCCGCCAGGTCTGGGACTCGAACCATGGTCAGCCATGTGGGAATCCAGCGCCCTTAACCACTATGCCATCTGCTGGTCCCAATTTTTGTGTCTTTTAAATGAATTTTTTTTCCCTGATTCCCCCCTCCCATTGCTGTTAAATTGATTTTTTTTTGGAGAGGTTTTCGCTATAGGGCGCATGCGCTCGCCAGACAGACAGAGACATAGAGACAGAAAGCGAGAAATCACCCCCCAGGGAGGATGGTCACGCCGCAATCCCTTCTCCTCCATTCTCCTCTTGGGATCTTGGGCACGCACGCACAAGCGCCCAGTGTGAGTTTTAAGCCACTGGGTCTGGGACGCGAACCGCGGTCGACTATGTGGGAGTCCAGCGACATAGCCATTACGCTAACTGCTGGTTCCCTTAAATTGATTTTTGTTCCCTACTTTTGAAAAACACTGGTGTCCTGGCCTGAGTTTGGCTGCCTAATTTTTCCCCATTTATTTGACATTACGTAGCTTTTCATCCTTCTTTGTGTTTTACTTTCCTTATCTTCATAATAAAGGTGTTGTGGTTTAAATATTCACTGATTCTTTGTCTTTATGTTTCTCTAGATTTTTTAAAAAAGAATTACTTAACTTTGTTTGTGTTTATCATTATTTTTTTAATTTGACCAGAGAGAGACAGAGAGCGAGAGCAAGAGTGAGAAAGGGAATGAGAAAGCAAGGTCCATGATTCATACTATGGTCAGTCATGTGGGAGTCCAGCACTTTAGCCACCATGCCACCTGCTGGCCCCCACTTCTCTAGTTTTGATGTTGGACTAATGTTATTTGTCTTGAGGTCTCTGGCTAGAGAGAAACCACTGAAAAATTGAATAAATATCTGGTTGTGTATATAGTGTGCTGTGTGGTAAGTGACATGATAGAGTTTTGAACAGCATTTTTCTGCAAAGATCTTATAAATTGGAGTGGAGACAGTAAAACTTATAATAAGTATAAACATGCAG